AGGCGATTCGTAGCACGCAAAGACTGCGGACCTATCTGCGTCTCTGTGATCAAACGCTATTTCGTTCCTCTTACCACCTGCTGCCTCTCCCATGCACGAGCTATCTTGCTCGGACGCAAGGGCGCCCAGTCTTTGCGTATTTTGAATTGCCGGTACATCCTTTAAATATCTCGTATGGCTGCGGCAGGCCTGCTCCAAGCGCAAGGGTGCGCGCCGGATACAGCCGCTAATTTGGAGATTACGAACATCCTTAGTTCTTTTTTGTCTGTTCAAGCTGTTTTTATGTTTTGTTCCATTATTTTTCGTTATTCGTTCTGATCCACTCATAAACAAGTCATAGGTAATGTCGTCATTTTGTGGCAAAGTCTAAGGAGACCTTGTTTTTTTAAATTGAAAAGTTACTTCATGCCAAGCCCTGTAGAGGTTTTTTGACCTGTGATTACGAAAAACACACCTTCTTTGCAGATTAACTTCTTATTCTAGGGTTACGGTAAGTAAAATTTTGAAGACGGATTTTTGCAAAATACACCGGCTTAGATTTCCCATTGGAAAAGAGATCTCCGACTAGTCGTTAGCTCCTGATAATCGACGGGTTAGCTCTACCGAGTCGTGCTTAATAGAGTCTTCCGGGTGTGTTTGCTGGATTGAACCACTGCGAAAAACCGTCCTCACAAAGAAATCGAGCAGATTGAAAACGTAGTGGCACATAATTATGCAGCCTATAGGAAGTTATGAAGAAAACGAAAAAAACACAAATCGTCAGTTTTTGCGTTTTCTGTCGAATGATTAGTGTGGTACTGTATTGTACTTTGGGGCGCGAGCGTGTCGTAAGCCACTTTTCGTTATCGATCGACACCATTTTTTCGGTTTTTATCGATTTTGCAAAGTTTGAACGACGAGTCTGGGAGTTGGCACTAGAGTAAGTGAGCATGAGTCTTTAGAATTATAGAATTTATAGATTTTTGCAAAGTTTAAGTTACGGGGCTGGAAGCTGGCATGGGGGGGGGGTGTAAGTGAGTACATTAAAAGACTGTACAGAAACAGGGATAGTGGCTTTTAATATAGTGTTTTGACAGGGCCGAGCGGAGCCGGACATAAAAACAAACACACGGAAATTTACTAATTACATCTATCAATACGATCGTATGCCTTCGTTCCCAACTTTTTCACTTCGCGTCATTTCGCCATTGCACTGGCTTCTCCCACTCCTCCCTCCTCCTCCACCATTTTTTTATCCGCTCCTCTGAGTGGTATGAAGTGAAAAACTAGCACCTGCTCTCGTTTTCGACTATCACCTGTTTCCCTTTACCTAGAAAGAACCCGTTATTTTTTTGCGGTGCAAGATTAATGCAAATATCTTCAACGTTTTCATTGACCACAACATGAATTTCATATCATCGTTAGCCAGTAAATAGCATCCCAATTTCCACTTGCCATGCAAATATACCCTGATTCTATTAATATTGAGTAACATAGGAAAACTCAAAACTAGTGCTTCAAGTAAGTTTATGAGTTTAACCAATGAATCAGTTTATTCTCTTAAAGTGATTTATTGCAAACAAAAAAGTTTTTTTTGTTTTCTATCAATGAAAGCTAGTGTTTTGTCATCTGCAAAATCTGCAAAACTTGGAGAAGCGGTGAACTCGTTCCACCTGAGGTTGCCTTCATTGTCACATGTGCCAGCGGTGCTCGAACGCCGTGCCGGAACTGCGGGAATCTGATTGCCCGATACGGAGCACGTCCGCATGTGTGTTGCGGCACGCCGCTGGAACTGTGATGGCAACGTTTTAGAACCGTGTCATCACAAGAGTAAATCTAGACGCAGCTCAATGCATGAGTCCGCGCACTGCTGTATCAAGATGCATAGCAGACATTAAACTGAAGTTGCCTTCAAAACCTGATCAGATTTAATTTGTTGCTTATTAGATTACCACCACTTTAGTGGTTTAATAAAACGTCCATAAAACAAGGGCGAAAATTCAGAAGCAGCTCTGACTTATCACACTTAACATATCCACGGCAATACGACCCGCCAGTGGGTCGCATGTTTTCCAAAAGTTTCTGATTTTGCTAGTTCACAAGCAAAGTTTTTGGGCAAACTGAATAGACTTCGGTATTCCTTTCCTGCAACACTTCTTGAAAGATTAACACTTAAAGGCATCGTCCACCCAGGGTGTATGTCAAGAGGCGCAATTTTTGCCAGCTGGACACCAAATAGCACATAATAAGTGTTTTGCAACTTTCTGAAAGTATATGAAATTTAGGAAAAGATATATTAGATAGTTGCATGTGTTGCTCAACCTGTATACTCACAAGGGAAACGTGTAGAGTCGAAGTGGCCTTTCCAGATGAGACCCATACTGCTTTGAAGAGTATTAAGCGGTAATTCCAAATCTGCCTTCCAAACAGGGTCAAGCGTGTTGATGCGATCCTGGACCCTCAGACCCCCCCCCCCACCCTCTCCCTCCCCTCCCCATCTATCCCCCTTACCTCCCCTGCCCACATTTCTCGCGGTAACCTGCATAAACGAATGTCAATCTCAAAAAACACCTGCGTGAGAACTTCATTGAGGTTCCGGAAGCAGAATTTCTAGGCCACTGGGTGCGCCAGCATCTCTAGCACACATATACACACCTTCAATAATGTTTGAGATTCTGCAAGTTTACTTTTGAATTTTCAGGCATACTTCAGGCCAGCAAATTCGATTTCCGTATGCGACACAATTTTTACACGGAGAACAAAATGACATTCTTGAACTACAAAAGATGTTTTCGACTAAGAAGCTCAGTACTTACCTCTTCCACAGTTTTTCCTGCGAAAAAAAGCGCTTTAGCGCCGTCCAGAATGACATCAAAAACATGCATGAGCACGGTAGTTTGAAAATTTGTAACTAAGGCCAGGAAAAGACTGAGAGGCTGCAAAGAACAGGTTCTGTAGCATAGTGCCCAGACTATTCATAAAAATAGTTTCTGCCCTTGAGGAGCAGTGAGCTCGAAAAAATTTAGATCAGGCTCTCGCAAATTTAGATGCGATCCTAAAAAGCAAATACTGGGATTTTTGAGCAAAATTTTGTAACTTACTAGAGAAGTTATAAAACAGCCTGAAATTCTTACGATAAAAACTAGAGGGATGGCCTCGCATTACAGCAAGTTTGCACCTAACAAGCTTCAATAGCTCCGGAGAAATTTAGATCAGGCGCAGATACGACCCCCCTTTTCTCATTTTTTGCTACCATACATAAAATCATAGGAAAATCCGCAGTTTATAAAATAACACCAGATTTCGCACAGCAGTAGCAGGGCTTATCTAAAGCACATATAAATTGTAAGGGCCTCATAAATGGCATTACAAAAAGATTTACGAATTATTGATTGTCATCGTTGATCTACGTGTGCGCTTTTGTCGAGTGTGCGAGTCTTCAGTGAGCCTTCGGAAGCAGGATGTCTACACCAATCGGTACATTCAACATCTTTATCACACTACATGCCTTTAGTAGCATTTGAGCTTCTGAAAGTGTTTATTTTTTGGATTTCAGTCATCCAGCATGGTTCGATCCCCGCTTGAGACAATATTTTGCGGGAGAAATAGCGATTCCCATAAAAAAAGAACTAAGTCATAATCTTTCAAAAGTGCAGCAAATGATGCGAATTTCTACGCTTGCAAATGTTTTCAAATTATTGTTCACTCGTTTTTATTTGATACATTGGTACACGGCATTCCATGAATTTATTGTTAAGAACATGTAATAATTGCTTGCTATTTGATTTGCTTTCAATCGTACTGTTTTTTATCCAAACTACCCCCTCTTACGACCCCCCCCCCCCTCACCGTAGGCTCCCTTTACGACCCCCCGTTGCGACAGTCGCATCACACGCTTGACCCTGCTTCCAAATCTGCCAAGCGCCTCTAGACGCCGAGTTATGACCGTTCTTCGGAACGGAAAATGAATGCAGAATTTAGATAAAATTGATTGTTAGAACTTTTCCAGCGTTCAGATAAAGCAATGTTAAGTGTTAGCATTTCAAATAAAATGTAGCCTTTGCATAAACAGCTCTGATACTTGACACTGGATCAATTGAGGAAATTTGGGCGATCTTGCTTCAGTTTTGCGTTCAATTTTTTGACCTGAAAAACGAGCATAACTCGGCGTCTAGAGGCGCTTGGCAGATTTGGAAGGCAGATCTGGGATCACCGATTAATGCTCTTTAAAGCAGTATGGGTCTCATCTGGAAAGGCTACTTCGACTCGACACCCATGTCAGAAAAATTTTAAATCAGCAATTTTTAAGGTCAAAAACCCATTAAAATGCATGTAAGAACAAATTCGTAGATATTTCAATCCGTTTTAGAGCAAAAACCATGAAACTCAGTGAGTGGTAACCTTAGACAGATAGTAAGCCAACGCACTTTATTTGGTGATTTTTAGAGACTCCCATAGCACTAAAATGGAATTTTAAGTTGCTGACAGCCGGAGAAATCGCGCCTCTTGACCGTTTCCTGTCCACCCAAAATGGGGTCGATGAGATTTTGATGCCTAACAGTAGTGGGGCCCCCAGCTGTATGCTTATCCAACTCGCGCTGGCAAAAGTTGCTTTCGAAGCGAAAAATTGCTTCGAAAATTGCTCGGATGACAGTTTTGCCACGTTGGCTCCTCCCTTTGAGTGGGCGTGACATTCATCCCGCCCATCCGCCCGCCCCCACCAATCATCGTTCCGAAGAATTGCTCTGCGGGTTCTGAAAACGGGCGTTTTTTGTGGTTTTCGCGGATTTCCTACTTGATATTCGAAATCAGGGGTACGAGAAGGCCCTGGAACGGCGAAAACATGAGGTCGAAATTTTGGGTGGACGGTGCCTTTAAACCATAGTACCTGTCAGTGGCCAAAAATATAACGCAAACTCAATATTGCGAAATGTGCCCTGGTCCGAAATGGCAGTCATCGAAAATCCGTTCTTGTCGTGAATGTGTCAATATAAATATCTGTTTTCTCGTTTTCCGACAAGGAAGAGAATGTGCTGTCAACAATTTCCATCAATACAAAGAATTATGATCAGCGGTCTGCAAATTTTGGACAACCATTGAGAATTGGCGAATACACCGTATGTTTACAGTTTCCGAAAAGAAAATAGTTCACTACCGTATATATCTGTTCGTAGATGACGCATGATCGAAGAATGGTGCTGGGCAGGGAAGACGCAAGATACTTGTACGAAGCCGCGCTCGCTAAAGGAGGAAGAGTGAGATTTGATTTGAACCAAGGAATTGAGACTTTTGAGGAAAAAGTATGTCTTGTTGAAGAAGACTATGACTTGTCAATATTACTTACCTCTTTTTGGGCCGAACAAGAGCTCGACGTCCTTTTGGAGTGGATTGTCGCTCAAGCACCTAATGGAGGCCCTTTGAAGAAGGTAGTCTTGCTTTTTCCACGAATTGAACGAACTAGCTGTCGCTACAAACACCTTTTGTAGGTGCTGCATGAGGCTGACTTTGTGTCCTGGCGTGGTTTACTGACACGTATAGCCGCCACCCCATTCTGTCCCAAAGATTCTTGGCAATTTACAGCTGCTCGTGTGGGAGGTGTAATTTTTCTTTGCGAAGGTGACAGATATCGTCGCATGGAAGCTATGACACCACAAGAACAGATGATGACATATTGGGGTTTCAAGTTCGAACACTACATGACAGTAAAAGAAAAATACGTAGGTTGTTACTGCTCGAATCAAGCATTATATCTGCGCAGTGAGGTAGGATTGCATGGATAATACGTCTAGTAAGGCCATAAGAGGAAATAAACTCAAAGAAAGATCGCACAGTTATCTCAAAATCCTAGACATTTCTTTCAGTGGAAATATTGTGTAGCACAGATTGCTGCTAGCAAAAAACTCGAGGATTCTCATTTTAGGAAAAACCCAAAACAGATGAGGCTGTTACATGCCTTGAAGAATTCGCAGTAGTGAATCGTTCTACGTTGACGGCTGGATCCGAGAGGCCTCTAAAATTAGTTTATAGCGGGGAAGTGGACGCAATTAACGCCGGTAATTTGATTATTTTACTGCAAAAATTATTAAGCAATTTATTTCAGAAGGGGATATCGTCGAATTGAAGACACAACGCCATGCGCTAAATAATAACTTTTGGAAGTATAAAAGTCTGAAGTGGTGGCTGCAGTCATATTTAATCGGCATTCGTGACATCGTCGTGGGCTTTCGCGACGATAATGGCATTGTTACACAGGTACCCTAATTTCACGCGTACAAGGCGCGGGGTGGTCCTGCTTTCATCGACCAGTCCGAACACGGCAAAGGACTTCGCAACCAAAGGAACCCCATACCGTGCTGCGTTTTGCCTGACGAATCATGCGGCATAAGGATCGCTTCTTAAAACACGTTGGGGAGGCTGAGCAGCTCGATGAAAGCTAGGAGCACCCCGCGCCTTGTACGCGTGAAATTAGGGTATCTTGTAGAGCTCCTATCAATTTATCCTTTATCCATGCATGTAGGTTGACCTTCTGCACACGGACGATCTTTACGAACGAGGCGGATGGTCGGCTAATGTATGTATGGGTGTGCTTTTCAGAGTGCTTAGTGCAGTGAGTTATCAACGAGATATTCGGGACTATTCTATATTAGATTCTCCTGCGATTCAGATACGATCACAATTGGGACGTAATGGCAAAGCTTGTATCGTTCGCTATGTTCAAAGTGACAACAAGGTCACAATTCATCGAGCTGCTCTAGCTGACGTGGATTTTTTTACTAGCAAATTCAAAACACACTTCCATTTGAAATAAAAACACTCACAGCCGCACTTCAAAATATTGTACCTGCAGTTAGCTGCTGAAACTTGCTTTGTGCGTTTTTTCTGCATTTTTTGTCCACCCTCTGCTAATGTATATTTCTAATCATTACCAGTGATTGGTCGCAGAGGTTTTTTTCTGGGACTAGATGGGAAGGAGAGATCTGAATTTGAAAGAACATAATTTCTGTGCCGAGGTTTGGCGTTGACCATACTTGTGTTATGTTCCTAGACACAATTTAGATCGCCGCAGAGCAACTGCGATACCTTAATTAACGCATATTTTTGCGTAGATTTTGCAGTAAAAATCTAACTGCAGCGTGAATTCCCTGATAGTATTTCTTGGGAATTATATTAGGCTGATAAAAATAATGGCCATTTTGCGAATTCTCACTTTGACTTGCTATTATTTGCTGAAAATCTACAATTTTGAAATATAAAAAATCAGAAGTAGCAAACCTTACAGCGCACAACAACCTTTAATTACACCAAGGGGCAGAAAGATATGGATTGAAAACCGAAATTTTTTTGATTTGTTTTGACAAATCACAACTCCATTCACAGTTTGTTATTATGAATGATAAGTGGCCTATCTTATAGCCGCAAGCCAAGAGGACAAAAGAGTATGGAAAGTGTTTGGGCAATGAAGATTTTGAAGGCAAAGAAGAAGAAGAAAATATAAAATAAAATCCAAAATCGTTGGTTTTTCAATATCTTGATGGTCTCAAAGTCCAAATTATAGAGATTCTCAATTTCTACGCATTGAATTCTTTGCAAAAACTGTCGACAAGATGCACTAACCTTTAGGTTTATAGAAATGAGCGAAATTTTGGCCACTGCCTTCTTCGGAAAAAAATTTATGGGCCAGAATGAAACCGCAATGGTTTCATATTGTGGCCCCAATATCTCAGTCTAGACAATAAGGAAAATCAAGCGTGCGTAATATAAACATTTATTACATACATCAGCTAGGTTGTCGGAGCAACGCCGTTCATCCTCGCTTGAACTCTGCCCAGAAAAGTAAATGCAATGGAATTTTAATTTTGAATGCGCTTATTTGAAGCTTTAAAACTTTTAACAGATGAGCGTGAAAGCCCGCTTCGATCATCATGAGATAGCAGAGAACTTTTTGACAGTATGCTGCTTTGATCCAAAGAAGAAATTACGATGGAAAAAATACAAAAATATTTTTTTGCAATATGCCATTCTCTGCAACATATCGTCGAGTCATTTGTAACTTAATATGCGTAGTGCACAGTCTACACGCTAACTGACGAACTGCAAAACTAGAACATGCTCATTTCCTGTGATTTCTCCTTCTTTCCTTATTTCTCTTGTTTTAACTGGTTACATGTTAGTTAGTAGAACACATTTCTCGCTTTGTTGGACTAGAAAATGTTTTACTGGGAAGTTACTAGTATGGGTGCCGTCGCTAATAGGGCTTAGTGTGCAGTCTCACACTTACAAAGTTACAAATGACTCGAGGTTACAATAAATGCTAATCTTCACAGTCTTGTATGTAATTGATTTCTGCCTGAGCTGAGCACTGGCCTTATTTCGCTGAGTTAAATGTAGATGCAAACTTTTTCTGCTGGATTATACATTTCTTTCAGGATTATTGTGCACAATTGGATATTGTGTCCGTTCATAATTTGACAAAAAGAGTTCTCCATAGATGTGATCTACAGCTACCCTAATACGAGTACAGGACCTGTGCTCGTGTTTTGTCTTCTAAATTCGACCAGTGTGAATACATCAAAAACTTTCGATAAAAGGACCCTTTACAGTGCTACATATTGTCTGAGAGTATCGTGCGGTTTAAATTTTGTTTTCCGAAACACAGCGAAGCGGCTGAGCGGCTCGTTAAAAATCGAAAAAGCTGCGTCTTGTGTTCGTGAAATTAAGGTATTGCATCTTCATTTATCAGGGCTCGGCACAAGGTGCCTTTTAGATATTTTGAAAAACGTCCTAGTCCTCCCTAAAATGCTAAATAATTACGATACCCCTTTGTAATACTACAACAGCACAAAAAAATCTTTATTCTAAATAATGCACATGGAAGTCGAAGAGACATTGCGTGTCATACCTCGCATCGCCGAGATAATTGTAACAGTCAAGAAATGAGTGAAGCAATAATTCGAACATTAGCCGCAATGTCTTATAAATTCAGAGTTTACTGATGTTACCAGTGTTACACGTGTTACTAGTGCTATTAATGTTACCGCTTTTATTGATGTTGTGTAGTGAAGTGATCACAGATACAGTCTCATTCTAGAATGCAATCTCATTGATTGGTTAGTAACACGCTAGAAACAGTGGTAACACCGGTAGCATCAGTAACACTGTGGCAGTGGTAACACTGGTGGCAACAATAACCGAGTAACACGAAGAATACTAGTAGCACGGATAACACCAGCACTGTTAACATCGGTAAACTCTGACGGATCTTTTGTAGAGAACAATTATTGAAGAAGATAGCTGTAAGAAAAAATGTGCACAAAGAAGTGAGAATTCGAAGGTAGAGATCAGAAAGAGATTGATAGAAACCTTCTATCAACTTAATAGGCTTATTGGGCAGAGCGCATCCGCCACCTTTCCGATTTACAACATTAATTGGACAACCCATGTTGATGTCGATGAAGTCGATCTGAAAGCAGTAGAAACAGAGTGAATGTGACAACGAGAGTTTCCAGCCATCTCCATCTCATCGACCAATATCTGAGCCGACTTGGCCATCGCGTCAGGGAACCGCCAACATACTGCACAGCGAAAACCTTCTAGGATGTTCTTTTCACTAATGAATACTCGGATGGTGTTCCTATAATCATAACTTTCATTCTAAAAATGGGAAACCAAATAATACGACCATACCCGACAGAAGACTGGTAGCCAAGATCGTTTCCGCAGGCAATTTCTGCTCAAAGGCAGTGTCCGGGCAAAAACTCGATTTTGAGATTTTGTGCTTACCTGGGCCTATTTGCCATGCTGACTTCGAAAATCCACGTTGGAAAGCGCGAAAACGGTAAGAAAGGGCTCTAACGCAGGAGGGAAATCAGAAGTGGGCGGGGTTTTCCCCGCAGTGAATTTTGCGGTGCCATCTTTTGAAGCGGAAGCGAGAAGATCGCTCTGGAAGCTTGGAGCGTGAATCCGCAGTGGGGAAGACCCCGCCCACTTGCGATTTCGCTCCTGCTCCAGAGCCCTTTTTTGCCGTTTTCGCGCCTCCTAATATGGATTTTCGGATTCAGCATAGTGAATAGGCCCGGGTAAGCACAAAATCTCAAAATCGAGTTTTTGCCCGGACACTGCCTTCAAGCTCTACGCAGAACGAAACGAAGGTAACTCCAGAATCAAGTACCTGATTTTAGTAATAAAGGCGACAATTTTCTATCTAAACCAAAAGTAATAAAGGAAAATACAAGGAAATGTTTCGAAGGGTCTGCTTTGGCGGCGTGTTGTCGCCAGCGCACAATAGTGCGCTGAAGCGGACTGTAAAATTGCTTCACAAATTTTTAAAGGCTTGAAAGTGAAAGGAGCGGAGGGGGTATGAAGCGATTCGGCATTTTATGGATATGTAAGGAGATGAAGAATAGAATTATGAAAAAGTGCTAAAAACTTAACTGACAAAAAATCTATGACTTTTTCTTTCCTAAGCCATTTCAAGTGGCTGCCAAGTAGCTTGAAAGCCACCTACAGAAAGTTTGCTAGGTCTCCATTTCACATAACTTTTTCATAAGTTTTCATACATAGCTGCAAGTCCCTATTGCCCATCTACACACCAAATTTTGGCGTCAAAGCATCATCTCTTCACTGCAAACAAGCCTTTCGTTTAATTTGGAGTCCTTTGAATTTCCGCGCTTTGCGCTCCGCATGGAGAGCATATTGGTGCAAATAATTGCTAACTTTGCAGAGAGTGAGATCAGCAAGGCACTGGTGAGGACTTGCCACGTCTCCAGATGATGGGGTGTAATAAAAAAAAAGGGGGGGGGGGAGGAATTGAGTTTCGTCATGGTTTTCTGGTCAGAGAATATTTGAAAGTTGGTCACCATTTTGAAGTTCCCACGTATACCGTATATTCACCATTCTGTGCAAAAACATTTTTCTGGGGGCTTCGCCCCGGAACATTTTTCTGGGGGCTTCGCCCCGGACACCGCAAGAGTGATACCCCTTTGCTTTCTCTCTCAAAAACGATATTCAGCTTGCTCAGCAAGCCACCACCTGTGACGATCCCTGTTTGCTATGCAGAACAAAAATTGCCTGCTAACAATTCTTAAGCGTTTAACGAGTTTATCAACGCTAAAAATAACCAATGCAGCTGCATGGTGCAAAAGCTATTTTGCGATAATTATTATTTTTTTAAAATTTTTTATTTATGTTTTACACTCAAGTGTGCCAATATGTAAAACAAACAAACAAACAAACAAAAGCAAACACTAACGACAACAAGCACAAGCAACTCATACCAATTCAGAGGAAACAAGGAGCAGTCCAAGGGAAGTGATTAAACGCAGTATGGGAACATCCTAGGCAATAATTTCTGCCTTAGATTAGCCAGGGTGCTGCTAGCAAATAGGCTTGCAGATCAAATAGTGCTACAAACGTGAATTCCAATCTTGCTGCCTCTGAAAACTTCCACTACAATTTTTGGGCGCCAACGAGCCTACGGGCGGAAGCTAGCTGGCGAAAACCAATTAAAAAGGTTTTCAGAGGTCAGCAAGATATCTCAAGCATATGAAGGTATGCTTGGCGATGATAATCTCCGAAAGGGAATACACCCTTGTTTAGGAGAAAAATGGGGATTACTAAAGTTCAATACCTGTGAGGTTGGGTGTTTGGAGGCTGCGATAAAGTTCCCAGGGAGATAGTATGAGCTGACCATCTGTTAGTAAATGCAAAGTGTATGGTTAGTAACAGTGCGGAAGTATTTCAAACAAGATGAATGATCCTCTTGAGCAGAAGCCGGTTCTTTAAGAGTAATAAATGACAAGTAATTGGAGGTAGAACGCGAACTC